TAAAAGAAAGAAAACAACTCTTTGCACAACTCACGAATAACAAATGCAAAAGATTTGGGGTGTAAGACGGGCAGCCTTTTCTGCGGTTGCATTCTTCGGCAATCTTCGGTTCTCAGCATGCCTTAGCCCTTCGCTTGCCGATGCATTACCATAGACCAGGTCGAAAAGCGCGAAGGGTATTGGGATTCACTGTTATCCGTTTTTGCGGTGCAACGATGTTAAGCAAAAATTCATGTGATAACCCTGTATATGCATATGTGTGTGCATGGGAGCGTATGTACATGAATAACACGAAAGATTTTTGGTAGGAAAGCGATTTTGGAAATCTTCACGAAGGTGTTCTTTGCCCATGTCTGATCCAAAAAGTTTAAATTCAACCTACTCGCTCTCTCAGTTTTCAAGCACGTGGCAACAAAGTTCAATTTGGCGCCACTCCAACACTAGATTTGGGCTGCTTAGAATGATAGTCAGAGCTGTAATTTACAGCGCTATTTGCAGTTCACTAGTGTGCTCGTGAAAATAAATCAATCTTTCCAAATCTCACGTACAGGCACTTAAATTTTGACGCAGGCAATTTTGTAAGTTCGAAACTAAAGCAGCTAGGGGCTGAAATTTTCCGAGAAAATATTCTACGACCGTATTTGAGCAGTTGCACGAGAAAACAACTTCTACGTACTTTTTATGTTTCAGGTACATTTCATGTGCGGACACATGCCTTTCTAGTAGTTTCGCAACTCAAGCGAGTGCTGAAATTTCCTGAGCGCGGCCTACAAACACATTCGGGCAGGAGTACGCAAAAGTAATTTTCATATCTCATACGTGCAAGGATATGTGGGACTTAAAAAACTCCGCAACTAAAGCCGCTAGAGAGCACAAAACGTATTCATTAGAATCTACGTGATAATTTGTTACACGTAGTAATCACTCTTAATTCGTTTGGCTAAAATCACTTGCTAGACAGTGTTGCATAGTGACAAACAACTACGGGGAAAACTGTGCAAAAATGCATTTTCGCGCCAGGGAGTTTGGTACGCGAGCGCACTGGGTTTGTTTATTTTATGCAATCCTCCATGCCGTATAATATGGCGAACAATTTGCATTTCGCGCACAACTACGTCCCTCAGAGTTAGGCACGCTTACAAACAACTGGTTGGGCTGAGACAATTCAGTATTTGGAGCTGCCGTATTTTGTACCTTTCTTGGTCCGTTTTTATGCGTTTTTGCCTATATGCAAGTTGCAAAAACGCATATTGAGACGACCCCGTCTGTGTG